TTTTTGTTATTTTTTATTTTTAAGAAAAGAGCTCCAGCATGTTAGACGTGATCACGTTTAAGAAAGGATCCGGTTCTGCCCTGCCAACTAAAAATCACTTTAAAAAAAAAACAACCGAACCTCTCTTTCTCTTAGGCGTGATCACGCATAAGAGAAAGCCACTCCAATGAAAAGCTGCGAACCAAATGTGTACTTACCCGTGACCACGCTTAACAGAAACTCTCCTTTTTTTTCTTAAGAAGAAAATACTAACATAGTAACCAAGAAAAATAAACTAACTAATCAACACAATAAAATTTAAACACTTTGGGTTGCCTCCCATGTAGCGCCTTTCTTTAATGTCTTTGGCTAGACAAATTCCACGCGTCTCATGGCAGAAATTTTGAAACTCCACCTAACAACAGTAGATAAAATCCTGGATCTTTGCATTTGGAAGAAAATTTTGATTGCGACATACCAGATAGATGATCTCCAACTACTACCTCATTCTTTGAAAACTTCTCCATCACTTTCTGTTTGGGCTCCTCTATTTTTGGCTCTTCTGACATATTTGAAAAAGAAGTATCAGTTGCATTAGTTTGACTAAATAAAATGGAAAGGTCAGTTACCTCATTGTCGTCCAATGCCTCTGATTCATTTTTCTCTACTTCCATATGTTTCAAATCTTCTGCATTTTGAGTAAGTACAGTCTCCACACCATAAATCTGTTCTATGAAAGGATATTTCATTTTCTCAAATTCAGTCCTTGAGAATCTGCTCGGAAATGGAGGAAGTATCATGTAACGTGGATTTTCTCTAACAACTTCCTTCGCTACCTTCTTCTCAGATACATCATCTTTTGGAGTCACTTCTTTCTCACTTATGGCATAAACACTTTCAACAGGATTATTTAACAACGGAGATGGTAATTCCACAGGCTTTGAGACCTCGAACTTGCTAATAGTATTAGCTAGTTGGCTAATTCGGCTCCCCAAATCTTGAATGCCAGTTCTTGTTTCTTGTATGCTTGCTCTTGTTTCTTGTTAGAAAGCTACCGTATCCTGTTGAAGTTGGAGAGTGTTAGAAGCCAAAGATTTGACAATATCCTCTAAAGACATACCTAAATTCTGAGACTATGAAGGATCCGGAACATGATACACTATGGCGGTTGAGGTGGTTGATACTCATAGTTTAAACTTTGGTAATCTTGCCAACCTGGGTCATATGAGTATGGACTAGCTTCATATCTTTCTTGTGACGGTCCCCAAGATTCTCTCATGGCATTATGAGGCTTCCACTGATAATTTACTAATCTTTGACAAAACTCTCTAGCATGGCCATTCATTGAACAAAAACCACATCTGCTGCCTTGTCTCTGTTGACCTATAGCAAAATTTTTCACAAAAGACGTTAGTTCAGATAACTGTTGCTCAAGAGCCGAAGAACTTACCTCATTTGTATTCCAATGACCATCTTGCCGGTTCTAAGGTTGATGTGCATAATAGTCCATTGCAGAAGTTAAAAAAACTAAAATAAAACAAAACAAAAATTTAAAGGAAACAAATCAATTAACACTGTTCTCCGGCAAAGGCGCCAATTTGATGGAGTGTCAAATCCACACAAATAAAATAACTTACTTCAAACTACTGTAATATAGGGAAGCAAGGTTGTGTCCTCAGGGAACGATGGATTGTTTCCTTCAAATTAATGCAAAGGAAATTTTTGGATTGTTTTTCTATACTAAGATAATGAAATACAAATAACAAAAACTAAATAAAAGAAAAGAAATCAAAGTAACAGACTTCTGACTCAAGGGACGGATAATTCAATTATTTCATTAATCACAGGCTACTAAAACTGCTCTTGCAATTTAAGCATTCAACCAAAGATCTATTAGGATAGCCGTAATAAATCAATTAATTTCTCTTAAATTAACTAACTAAGCCTAGCACTCAATCAGTCCTTATCATAATCTGGCTGGGCACGATAGCGTTCTATGCCAAACAATTACATCATAAAAACCAAGGAAATATAGTTGAACCAAAACCTAAACAATTGAGATAGCTGCAACTATTCAGACTTTGTCTCATTGATCCACATTTAAACTAACATGCATATTCAAGTCTCACCAATACACATGCTTTGTCTAATTGCTACTCAGTACTCCGGTTCGTGTCTATTATGTAACATTCAACTAGCAGATAGCACTAGAAAATAAATAACAAATCAAGTTGTCAATTTGAATGATATCTACTTTCATAACTCAATACAAGAATCAACAAATACTTAAATTATAGGCAAGAACAATAAATTAAGAACAAAACCTCATAATGGAATAACTGAATAAATCCCTTGAATCAGAAAGAAAATCCTTATCCACTCATGGACGGAAACATGACGGCTTTATTCTCCATGGAAATTCAAGAAAAATTGGAAGAAATAAAAGATTTGAGGTGCTAGCCTTTGGCCTATGCACGGCTGCCCCCAAAACATAACTCAAATTCTGTTCTATAATCGAAATTTAGGTCAGGCGCTGGAATAGAAGAAGAAGTCCACGATTTTCAGATTTGGTCCTCCAAGTTTGACTTATTTTCACTTTTGCCCTAAAACTTCTTCAATTTTATATTTTTAGTCTCTGATCGTGCAAAATCATCCAAAACAGCTCCAATCTCTCATTTCCAGCTCCTAACATGAAATAATAACAATATCAATGAATTAAATCCATTCAAGTCCATAAACTAATAAAATATCAATAATTAAAACACAATTTATGGATTCTATCACTCATCTGGTCATTCTTAAGACTATAACAAAAGGTAAGCATTTTTTGCTTTAACATTATTTTGAGTTGTCTCTCAAGGTGTTCTCAAATAATTACTTCGTTTCTTATACTACATTGTGTGTGCAACCCAGTGCCAATTTTGACTAAAATGGTACTAATAATATAGTAATATTTGCCAAATGTGAGTTCATGCTTCCAATGAAGATGACTTCATTTGTTTAACATTGAATAATTTATCTCTACCTTCAAAAAAGAAAAAAAAAACAATCACAGTATAAGAATGTACCCAGACCATAATTTTCTTTATGCCCTAAATCTTGTAAGAAACATTCTTATTAAAAATAATAATAATAATAATAATAATAATAATAATAATAATAATAATAATAATAACAATAATATTCACTTTTCAGTCGTTAACCACGCCGAAATTGGAAGAAGCTCCGGCGATCGGCATCGACCTCGGAACCATTTACTCCTGCGTTGCGATCTGGCAACACGGTACACGGCACTTGCCGTTGATGAAACCGAGCTTATCCTTGGCACCAAGGGCAATCTGGATCGATCTGCTCCGTGAAAGATAGTTCGAACCAGTTAATTGGGAAGGTCACCAGAATCATTCCTGGATGATCGGATGATTGAGCACCAAGGAATTTCCTTGATTAGTCGACTGAGAAGAAGTATCTCCAGTAAGGACTCCTTCAATGTCTTGAATAGAGAAAAAAAAAATTAAGGGAAAAAAAAACACTAAATATAAGAAAGCGGAAAAACAGGTTCAGGAAAGTTTCTCTAATACCATGAACAAAATGGAAAATATGGGTGATATTTCAAGTGAGTTGCATAAGTAAAATCACTTGAGTAGTTCACATGAGGCTTCTGCTCCTATATTTATATACAAACAATGACGCGTGAATCCAACTACTAGTATCAAAAGAATCTTTGATCTATCCTAATCTGGTCATAACAAATACTCCATCTGTCCCAAAATTATTGTTCACTTTGAGATTTCACTTTTAGTACAATTTGAATTAAAAATAAAAATTCAACTGGACAATAATTATGGGACGGAGGGAGTATTTAATTTTCCAAATGTTAAGATTTGGAGTTCTGGTAGGATTTGAGATCATCTGCTTCCACGAGTTTCTCTACACTATCCAATACTTGCCAGCATTCCTCCTTCAGCTAACAATGATACTCCTTTGAAGAAGCCGAAATACGAGATAATCGACTGAAACTGAAGGGAAAAGGTTCTTTACATTTATACTCTCTTAGTGTGCTTTCTTTTTTCATGTTTGGTAAGGTTTCCAACTTTGTCAAAGTATTTTGGTCTTTAGATTCTTGAAACCGCGGATAGATAACTTAGTAGATGATCATCTAAACTTGTAGGTTTTGTGGAAGTTTTGAATTTTAGCAACTCAGGAGATTTCTTATTTAAAAACTTGTGCAGATAGTGCTATTCTTTCTTTGTAGATCTTCAAAGGCAATGATTAACATAAGACATATATGGTTCAAGGTTTTCCATATACTTTTGTGTTAAATTTTGGGACACTAATTAAATGATTAACACATGTAAATATCACAAAGCTATTTTTGTGCAACTTTTGTGTTAGTATCAAATGTTAGTGAGAGTGTAACATTAAAGTATTACGGACAATCTTGTCATTATATATGGAAGAATGATAAGTTTGAATGGATTAGCAGATGAAAAATGGAGTTGATATTTCTGTACTTGTGCCTTTCATGACACGGCAAAAATAGCTCCCTCTGGTTGAATCGCAACCAGATCATTATTTTTTTGTTCCTGCCTCCATTTTTGCTGCAGGTTCTTTCTGAGCGGCCTCAACTTCAGCTAATATCTGTCCCAAAAATATTGTCTATTTTATTTTTAGTTTTAATACAATTTGAACTAAAATAAAAAAATCTAAACTAGACAATATCAGTAGGGAGAAAGTATCTGAAATTTCCTACTTACCTTCTATATATATATATATATATATATATATATATATTAAAAGTGCATATCCAACTAACCTATCATTTTGGGATATAATTATAGCAAATGTTATTATGTACTACTGATTTTGGGAAAAAAATATAATTTATCTTTATTTTTTTTCATTTTGATAGACTGATATAACAAATTAAACAAGTGATGCAAGAGTTAATCACATAATTATAGTTTAAAAATGAATAACACTTTATTCCACAATGTAAGGTCCATGATATGAATATATCGTCCTCGCGCTAGGTCAACAAAACTGAAAAATGCTAACTCTTGGAAAATAAATCATCAAATGGAACTGATCATCATCCCATGCTCCAAACGAGAACTACTCCGGCATCCATAAAACTGGCAGAATGCTTGTAACGTGAGCATCAAAACCATCAAACTTGACAAGAAAAATTTAACCACGGTCTTAGACGGAACAAAATGGTCCTTCACAAATCTCCAAGCTTTCACATTCAAAGTGTTGTCATCAATCCTCTTCAATTCCTCAACAGTCTCTTCTAAATCAGCCCTCATTCGAGTAGATCTCCGCATCCCATTAAATATTTTCGCGATTTCTTCTCTTGGCAAAACGGATTTTATGATGCCTTTCTCCTTAAGCAAATCCACATCTTTAGCTGTATCAATTATCCCGCACATGAAATCCACGTATCCAGAAACAACATTGCTACTTGATCCCGAGACCTCTTCATACGCCACCAGATTTCTTAAAATCACTTCAGAATCAGTATTCACTCTGATCACCGGGAGATACAGTATGCAATTCTTTTCATCGTACTTAATCCCGATCCCTGAATCTGTCCAGGCACGGAATTCTATCTTACAAAAGTCCTGAATTTCGGTAGCCGATGGAATTTGAATCTCCTGATCCGTGAAACTGTTTGCATCATCGTTATTCTTCATAAACATGTCAGCAAACTGTTGTAACGGCAAATTCGCCAGCAACCTGAAAGTTCTTCTTCCCGTCAAGTCGGCCACAACTTTAGTAACTTGTGTAGCTTCACCAACAACCCCATCCAAATGCTTTTCGATTTTGTTTCTGCTGGACCAGATTTCCATCATCAAAATCTGCATGTTGCTTAGTGAATAAGGTCTGTTTTTTCCTCTTTCACCAGTGTTTTGATCAAGGAGATCTCCTTTGTTGGTTTCTCCAGTAGACCAATTTTTCACAATCAAAGTATGCATATAATGCAATAGATGAGGGCTGCGTATATCTGAAACAAAATTTGGATCCGTTGTTAGGTCAAGAGGGGTATGCGCTTTGCAGAATGACAGCATGCCGGAAAGAAGTTCCGCGTCTTTCTCTGCTTTCGCCTCCTCGAGATCATCATCATTTTTTGATGAAAGTCGCAAAGCCTTGTTGATTTCTTGGGCCAAAAGGCAAGGAATTTGATTCTCTACCATTATGATGTCGCGCGCTAAGGTCCTGTTGTCGTCGTCAGTGACTAATTTTTCCGAGTATGAGCTGAGTAGGTTGAGCAAGTACACGCCGTCGATGGACATGATCCACGCCAAAGTATCGCCGTCGAGATCCAAATAATTGCTGTAGCAAGAGCGGATCTGTGGGTCGAGGTCTCTGACCTTGTCCACGATTAGGCTCTTGAAATTCGCGTATTGGTCCGGCTTCAAGAACTTCTTCACTGCCGCGAGTTTGCTGTTTTCGACGCGAAAATGATGATACGCGCCGATCCCTATTTGTTGTGGTGTATAAGCTTCTGGTTTTTGGTCAATAATGGCTTTAGGGATATGGAAAATGGAAGGGGGATTGTCGACGTAAATGGCGAAATGATCATTGAGTTGATTATTCCATCGTTGCTCGCTTATGTCTGAATTGAAAATTGGGGTTGACATTTTTGTAAGATGGAAGGGATTAGATTGTTCTTAATTTGTAATGTTCTTTTGATTTACTAATGGGATGTTGTGTAGGAAGAAGATGCAAAAATGGCAGCATACTTATAGCGGCAGTAATGTTAAGTTTTCGAGCAGGTTGACTTGGAGAAGAGATCAAACATACCGAGTAGTTTTAGGTAGAAATTAATGATAATAGAGAAATATTACTCTCCAGTGACTAATTTACAAATTTGTTTTCACTTCTTATCTGGCGTCTGGTGTAGGAGGTTTTTTTTTTTTTTTTTATGGTTTCACAGCCTTCGAGTGAAGTTACTTTATGGTTCAAAAATGATATAATTGTTGTCTTCCACGAAAGGAATGTAGTATTATTGTAATATTTAGTATATTTCCTATTATGTCCTAGATTAGGGTTTGTTATTGTCTATATATAGTCTGTATATTGTGCACAATAAATTATGAATCAAATACAATTTCCCTATTCTAAGTTGGTATCGAGCTAGGTTTAGCGAAACCTATTTTTTTTCTCGTTTCTCTTCCCCGCCGCCGAATCCTTTTTCTTCGGCTGTGCACACCCCCTCCGCCGTAGTCGGTCTTTGCTTCTGCTCTTCGCCGCCCCACACAGGCTCTTCGCCGGGGTGTGTTCGTCGTCGCTTCCCCCTGCTGCTGCCGGTCTCTCTGCCGTCGTCGGTTCTTCTCCCCTTCTTTCTGCCGTCTTCGTCGTCGTCGTTGCTTTCTGTCATCTGTCGTCGTCGTCGTCGTTTCTGCCGTCTTCGTCGTTGTCGTCGTCTGCTGCTGCTGCTCTTCGTTCAGACCGGTCGTCGTCGTCGTTTCAATCCGGTGCTTCGTTTCAGTCCGTTTTCTTTTGTCGTCGGCGTCGTCGGCGTCGTCGGTGCTTCTTCCTCTGTCTTCCACAGCTGCTGCTGCCGGCGTCGCTTTCTACCTCCCTGCCGCCGCCTGCTGCTCGTTTGTCGGTGCTTGCTGGTTCTTCTATAATAAAACCAAAAAAAAAAAAACAAAACAAAAAAAAAACACAAACACAAAAACAAAAAAAAAAAACCAAAAAAAAAAAAAACCACTTGGGCCGTAGTTCGTCTTGCTTGCTTCTCTTCAACAATGACTATCACCGACCTTTCATCCACCGACCAGGCTACCCATCTTCGGCCGGCGGCACCTTCTTCACTTCTTCAACCTAGTCTGCAATCTCTCAATCATTCTTTTAATGTGAAGCTGCAATCTCGAGCCAACTATTCGTCTTGGCGTCTTCAGTTTACTCCTTTATTGACTATGTTTCGTGTTGCCGGTATTGTCGACGGCACTGACCTTGCACTGCCACGTTTTCTTCCTTCCGTCAGTGGTGCCGCACCCCAACTCAATCCTGAGTTTGATATCTGGCAGCAAAAGGATCAGCTGGTCCTCTCTTGGATTCTTTCTTCTGTTGCTGAAAGATATTTTTCCCGTTCTCCAGGGCTGCACAACGTCGGCGGCTGCATGGACAGCTCTTCAGCAGGGTTTCGGCACTCTTTCTTATGCTCAACAGACCCAGCTTGTTATGGAGCTCCACAGTTTCCAAAACGGTGACTTGTCGGTCACGGCTCTCCTCTCCAAAGCGAAGGGCATCGCCGATACACTGCAGCTTGCCGGCCATCGCATATCCCCTGCAGAGTTTAATGCCATAATCTTCCGCAAGCTTGGTGCCGAATTCAATGGCATCATCGGAGCTCTGCAACAGCGATCCCGAACCCCCCTCCTATCAAGATCTCCTTGGACAGTTAGTTTCGTATGAGGTGCTTCTTCACGCCCAACAGCCGGTCCTTCAGGCCCACGGCCATGCTTGTGCAGTCGCCACCTACTCCTACGCCGCCTCAATCCTCTCGTGCCGGTCGCTCACAACGCGGCGGCCGGCGCAATCAGGTTTCTGGTCATGGTGGTGGTCGGCGTGGGTACACCCCTCCCGCTCCGGGTGAGACGTGTCAGCTTTGCGACATCTTGAATCACACGGCCGCCACTTGTCGACGCCGTTTTGATACTAATTTTGTTCCTCGACCCCCTGCTGTTCGGTCGGCTGCTTATGCCCAGGCAGTTTCTCCTGCACCGCCTTCAGCTTGTTTGTTGCCTCTTCCGTCTTACCCGGAATCGACTATGTCTCCTCAAGCCCATATGGCACAGTATTCCCCTTCTGTCACTCCCTGGCATCCAGACACTGGTGCTACCAATCATGTCACGCTAGATTTGTCCTCTCTCAGTATCTCCAATGATTATACTGGTACGGATCATATTTTAGTTGGTAATGGAGATGCTTTGCCTATTCAGCATGTTGGTCAATCTGTCTTGCCATCGTTTTCTCGTCCTCTTTATTTAAATCGTGTCTTGCATGCTCCTTCTCTTACTAAGCCTCTGTTATCTGTTCAAAAGTTTACCCATGATAATCACTGTTTTTTTGAATTTTATTCTGACTCTTGTTGTGTTAAGAATCTTTCAACCAAGGAACTCCTCCTCCGCGGTCGGGCTGATAATGGTCTCTATCGCTTAGATCTTCCTGCTCGTGGTTCCTTGTCTCCCGCAGCTTATCTTGTCTCTTTAGGTCAGTGGCATGCTCGTTTAGGGCACCCTAATAATGTCACTCTTCGTACTTTGGTTAGGCAGTTTCAACTTCCTTATTCCTCTGTGTCCACATCCACTGATAAATGTGAGACGTGTTGTTTAGGGAAGTTACATAGGGCCAGTTTACCTTCTACTTTTCATCGTAGCTCTAAACCTATTGATTTAATTCACACTGATGTTTTGGGTCCTGCTCCTATTTTGTCATTTAATGGTTATCACTACTTTGTGCTTTTTATTGATGACTTCTCTTTATTCACATGGATTTATCCCATTAAGTATAAAAGTGATGTTGTCCATGTTTTCAAATAATTCAAAGCTCTCGTAGAAAACCAATTTGGCACTACCATTAAAAGTGTTAACTCTGATTGGGGTGGTGAATTTCGTTCTCTCAATTCTTTCTTTAAGGATGTCGGTATTGTTCATCGTTTAGCGTGCCCACACACTCATGAGCAGAATGGCACTGCTGAACGCAAAATTTGTCACATTGTCGACATTGGACTTGCTCTCCTTGGCCATTCCAGTACCCCTTTTCGGTTTTGGGATTTTGCTTTTGAAACTGCTGTGTTTTTTATTAATCGCCACCCTAGTAAACCTCTTCAAGGTCACCTACCCTTCACTACACTGTATCACCAGCCACCTGATTATACCTTTTTTCGTGTCTTTGGTTGCGCTGTCTATCCTCTTCTTCGCCCTTATAATAAACATAAATTCTCCTTTCGTTCTACTCAGTGTGTCTTTCTTGGGTATTCTCCATCTCATCTTGGTTATCGTTGTTTTGATGTGGTGAATAATCGTCTTTATGTTGCTCGTCACGTTGAGTTTGATGAGAAACTCTTCCCCTTTAAACATCCTATTTCTAGTTCTTCTTCTTCGCTGCTGGAGTCTCCTGCTACCCCTTGGTTGCGTGTAACCAGTTCTCCTGGTATGCTTGCGTCGTCTTCTGCGTCTTCTTCGTCTCCTTCTGGTACACCAGTTCTTTCGTCTCCTCCTATCCCTCCTGACTCATCACCTTTAGCTAGGTCTCCTGCATCCATCTCTTCATCATCTGATTGCAGTCCTCCGCCGCCACCTCCTCCTCCTTCTTCCCGTCAGCACTCAATGACACTTCGTCCACAACCCAAGCCCAAGAAAATCTTTGATCCCTCGGCTCATCTTACCTCTGTTTCCTCAGTCTTGTCTACTGCTCCTACATCCTTCACCCAAGCCAAATCTCTTTCTCAGTGGCAGAATGCCATGAAGGATGAAATTTCCGCCCTCCTCAAAAATAACACATGGACTTTAGTTTCCCCTCCTTCCTCCGGCAATGTTGTCGGCAATCGATGGCTCTATAAGATTAAAACTCATGCTGATGGCTCCATTGAGCGGTATAAGGCTCGGTTGGTGGCTCGAGGTTTTACTCAGTCTTTTGGGGTTGATTACACTGACACATTTAGTCCGGTTGTTAAGCCGGTCACCATTCGTTCAGTTTTGACTGTTGCCCTGGCTCGTGGATGATCGATTTCTCAGCTTGATGACAGTAATGCCTTTCTTAATGGTGTTCTAAGTGAGACCGTGTATATGGTTCAGCCACAGGGCTTTGTTGATCCGGTGTGCCCTCATTATGTGTGTAAACTGCATAAGTCCTTATATGGTCTTAAGCAAGCTCCTCGGGCCTGGTATTCTCGGCTGGCAGCATTTCTACTTACCTTGGGTTTTGTGGAGTCTCGTTGTGATCCGTCTCTTTTTGTCTATCGCCGTGGGTCTCAGTTGTGTTTTTTGCTGGTCTATGTGGATGACATTATTCTTACAGGCAGCACTTCTGGTTGGTCCAGCATTTTATCTCTTGTCTTGCTAAGGAGTTTTCTCTTCGGGATTTAGGTTCATTGAGTTACTTTCTTGGGGTCGAGGTTCGTCATACTTCCAAGGGTTTGCTTCTCTCTCAGCGCAAGTATGTCACTGATTTGCTACGACTTGCAAATATGCATACTTGCAAACCCTGTTTCCACTCCTTTGCAGGCTAATGTTGTGTTGTCCCGTTTGGATGGTACTCTGTTGTCTCCTGATGATGCGACTACTTATCGTCGGCTGTGTGGCAGTCTACGGTATACCACTCTCACTCGTCCAGATATCTCCTTTGCGGTTAATAAGCTTTGTCAGTTCATGCATCAGCCTCGCACTTCTCATTTTCAGGCTCTCAAACGGGTTCTTCGCTATCTTCGTGGTACCGTTGATTACTGTTTAGTTCTGCATCCTACAGATTTGGGTACTCTTACTGCATTTAGTGATGCTGACTGGGCTGGTTGTCCGGATGATCGTCGTTCTACTACTGGTTTTCTCAGTTATTTGGGACCTAATCTCATTGCCTGGGCGTCTAGGAAGCAGCCCACTGTGGCTCGCTCGTCTACTGAGGCTGAGTTTCGTGCGGTTGCTAATGTCTGTGTTGAACTGCATTGGGTGTGTCATCTGTTGTCCGAGTTAGGCGTTTCTTTAAATCGCCCTCCCTCTATTTGGTGTGACAACAGTAGTGCAGTTTTCCTTGCTGTCAATCCTGTGTTCCATGCTCGTACAAGACATGTTGAGGTTGATTTTCACTTTGTTCGAGATCATGTTCGGTGTAAGTTTGTTTCGGTCAATTCTATCTCTGCTGCTGATCAGCTTGCTGATATTCTGATAAAACCCTTGTCCAAAGAGTTATTCTTTCGATTTCGGGACAAACTTCAGCTTCTCTCTTTTCCGCCGTAAGTTTGGGGGGGCGTATTGTAATATTTAGCATATTTCCTATTATGTCCTAGATTAGGGTTTGTTATGTCTATATATAGTCTGTATATTGTGCACAATACATTATGAATCAAATACAATTTCCCTATTCTAAGTAGTATATACTCAAAATCATATTTAATTAAAATAAAATGAAATAAAGAATATGATTCTTGTATGATGAAAACTAAGGTTCTAAGCCGACCCTTTTAAGGTTCGAAGATCGGTGGAGGTTTATACATATGTAAAGAGGAAACAAAAAGCAGAAAAGTGGTGAGCTTTCACATTTTGTGGTTTTTGTTTCAATAATGAATGAATTAATTTTTGCTAGTGAACATTCATTAGTTTAGTATCAACTTTTCGTACTAGGATACATCGAGCAGGAACTAATTATTCATCCAAAAATACTACTCCTTCGATTTTAAAATAATTTTTAAATTTGAATTTTTACATCATTGTGTAACTTATATTAAAGATGGAGATTTAAATTAGATAATTATTTCAGAATGGTAGGTCGTAAATTAATTAAGTGTACGTAGAATAATCAACGTACTATTCTTATGAAGATGACAAAAAATTATTTAGCTAACACATTTGCTGATCCAATCAATATTTCTGTGAATATTCTTGATATCATACGTCCCACAGCATCAGCCTAGCCTTTTATCGGAAATCACAAATTCATAGGTTTCACTTTTAACGAAAAAATCCATAACCACTCCTTAATTTGAACGTTCAACAATTGGATTAGGTTTAGACCGTTTTGTGCGTATTCACTACTATCATTATTATAGTTACAATGGTACAATTTTAATTTACTAGGTTAGGGAAGTTAGGATGTATTAGGTTTGGGTTCAAATGTCATTAATTTGTCATTTCATTACCATCTCTCTTAGACGCAATAGTAAACGGAAAGAACTAACTTGATATTTTGTTTTTCACTATTTTGTCATACCTTGATGTGTTTTTTCAAAGTCTCAATTTCATCTATACATCAGTCTAATTGGCATTTCATACTACGTATGTCCTTACGTTATGAGAAACAAAATTTTGAAAGTACATGTATAAGTATTTGTAGTTTAAAAAAAAAAAGAAGAAGAAGAAGCAGAAGAAGCAAATTTGGTAATTTGCATTGCTGCATAAAAATAGTGCAAACCAAGTGCTGCACTTCTGTCACATATCTCACATATATATATATATAAACAAAAAAAAAAAACAAAATAAACAACAACATCTTCAAATGTACCTTTTCCATTGACATGTGGCATTCCATGTAGTCAGTGTTGTCAGGCTCGGACCGGAGCTTGACTGGGTATTGGTTAGGGGTCGAGCGAATTGGGGGTCGACTCGGATAACGTCATAATGACGTAATAAATATTAATAAATTAAAAATTATATTTTTAATAAAATTTTATAAATTTTATATAGATTTGTTAAATATTCTAGTCAAATTAGTGCTTCAGAGTTCTCAAATTATTTTTTTAATGGAACATAATTATGACATTACATATACGATTAGTTTAATTAACTTTAATTATGATTAAAAAATTAATAAATTTAATGCACAATTGACTTTTATCATTAAAATTTTACATTGTATGTTTAGTCAATTAATATGGCTATAATTTTTTGTTTGCTTTAGTTTAAAATGATAAATATTGATTTATTTATTTAGCTCGTAATATTTTACTCTAGTCTCAAATAATGATTTTTACTCAATTTAGTGTGTAGGATGTGGCTTGAATGGTTAAAATAAATATTTAGACTTACAAATTTGAATTTAAGAGTTTGATCTCACAAATATACAAGTTATGGGTCATTAAAAATATAAAACATCTAATTGGAGATTAAAAGTAAAAAATCAGAAGACCTCAAAAGTAATAAAAAAAATTTAAAAAATTTTGAAAATCAACCCAGAAGGTCAAAACCCGGTTCGATCTGGTTTTGACCGATTCTTGGTTTAACTGGATTTTTGATCGGTTTTGACTGAATGTTAGATTTTAATACCTGCTCGGCTCGGCTTGGAGTCCGGTTTCCGGTTAAACGGTTCGATCAACCGGTCCGAACCGAGCTTAACAACACTGCATATAGTTAGCCACGTCATCAAACTCATGAGACATCATCAAGTTAATTAGATTTAGTTAATTAGTTTATTCACTTCCTAACAACGTCATCAAGTTAATCAAAGAATTTGATGATCACTAAATAAAATTTGTTTTCTACTGAAAGATATAATCAATGAATTAATAACTGCTTACTTTGCATTAAGGCGTTTCTTTTCTTCCTCTATTTAGATCGTTCAAATAAACAGTAGACAATAACCACCGCTACTTTTTTTGGTTGTTAGTTAAAGGTATGTTTAATTTGATGAAGTTCATGACTTGAGTTCTACCCATACGATGGGAATTTGTCTTCAAAATTCAGTTTTTGGATGAATATAGATTTTGGGTGCTAATGCTAAAAGTTTGGTTGCTGTTCAAGATCGTCGTGAGTGTGAGTGATGTTGCAAATCCAATATTCTTTGTAGGTTTACTAAGGAATGAGTTATATCTGAAGTCTAAATTGATGATAATCCGGGTATTATTTGCTCTCAATATTCTTCTTATTGGTCCCTTTTATCTTTTTCTTTTCCATCACTTTGTTACTACCTTAATTGATGTGGATGTTTCCTTCATGCCCTTTACATTACATCTCTTCTACACTTCTTTACTGATATCTTTTCGATCATTAATTTTTAACCAAAGTGATTGAAAAATGTTAATTATTTTTGTGACCCTTGAAATAGTACAGCTCCCGCATGTGGCAGGTGCACAAAAGAGACCTTAAGCTCTAGGTATTTTATTAATTCTAAGATTTGATAAAGAAAATTATTTTCTTTTTCAGTTTTTTACGATCAAGGTTTGCATTTTCATGTAGTTGTTTCACTTATGTTCCAAGAACATCTAATGTTGGATTGACTTAAATATTTAGGGATGATTTTTCTTAAGAAAACAATCTTACAAGATAATTAATGTACAATAATTTTGTCACATTTTTATTTTAACTGCAATGGATTTCTTCCTTGCTCACACAATTTTGTCCCATTCTCCGGGGTTTAGAAGTTACAAATAAGACTTACGTTTTTTAAATATTTTTTTCTTGTAAAATTTCCGTTCAGTTTAAGTTCTTCAATAATGGAATTTTCATAGCATCTTATAAAATTATACTGGGCTAGCATCAAACACACGTTGGTTTACTTCAATTCTACACTGTACTTGTATTACATATACCCAGCCAAATTTGAAACCTGGACTTTTTTGCTGGGTAGTCTCATAATTTTGAGATTAAATGATGTTATTTTCGTCCAATAAAAATAATCCAAACAAATTTTGAGATAAGCAATTCTTTTGTTACTGAAGTAATAGTATTAAACGAATAGTATCAAAAAAAAAAAAGGCCAATCGATAATTATTTTTCAAAAACTTCTTCTTTTTTTTTTTGGTTATCACATTGTAGATTGTACATAAGAAATTGTCCTTGACATAGATGAAATTGTTACATGCTCTCAAAGACTATTCAGATGGCGGTGGAACGATGGTCTTTCCTTTCTCTCTTAACCGGGCGACTTCCTCCATCATGGCTTCCTTCCTCTTCTTACTTGCAAGCAGTTTGGCTGCAAGTCCGGTGACATTTGGGTCCTTTTTCTCCTTCGGAGGAGGCGGCGGCGGTCTTTTTCCGGCAGCATTTGCATTACTCTTGTCACCCAAATTTACTCCTACCACTATACCAACCAAACCAAGGGCAACACTTCTGTCACATGAATCACGTATAGACATTGTTAGAAGAAACTTTTTCAAAGTGAGAACACTTTTGGTCTTCGAAAAGGGTTCTGTCTTCGAACTAATAATTATCCAGTTTGGATTCTCATTTTCAGTTTAAAAAGTATTAAAAGTGAAAATCGAAACAAGGGGACAATCATTTTGGAACCAGGGAATACATTATTACATAACAAATCAGACTCTTTTTTGTGACTACAGATTATATGTAATGTAGTCAATGTGATTATGTAAAACTTCCAACACCACCTATAATTCCAAACAAAATTGGAACAAAAAGAAAGGGAATCATAACTAGCCAATGACTAACGGTTAATAACCAGGAGTACTTCTTTTGTTCTAAAAAATGTAGTCTATAAATCAAAAAATCGATTTGCTCTCTTCGGATGAATGGGCTATATAACATATATGGGTAGAGAAATGCAAAAGTGTTTTTTTCAAAAGAAGAATCATGATATAATATGGGATAATTATGATAATATTTGGGAAAAGAAAAAAAAAAAGAACAAACCTGCGATTGGCAATGCTGATGTGCGGAGCTTCATGTGGAACTTGAAGGCATGCACAAACTCTTCCCAATCTCAACTGGGATTCATAATAACTATTATTAGTTAGCTTTGATCTTGCGCTTGAACTTGGTATAACTGCGGGGCTTAATGAATGAGCCATCATGGTTTTTTGTAGCAATCTTTATTGTTTCAATTCAAAAGAATTGACATTTTTCTTATTAATTTGAAGTCGTCTGTGATGGAGAAAGGGGGAGGAAACTGTAAGGAAATGGATGGATTAGTGATTGTTTTGGCCACTGGATTTTGAAGCGCCAACTATTTGTTGCTTTTTGATTGGCTGAATTTTGATAAGGTGTTATTTTGCGGGCCCTTTTTCTAGGCATATTTCTGATAAGCCTTGTTATTCATTTATTTTCTTTTTCCCAGCTGACTAAAAACCCTTGAACACAAGGCTCCTCTCTCATTTCCTTAGAACTTGCTATATAGTGTCAAAGATTGTGAAAAACAACGTGGTAAAACTTGAAGGCAAATTAAATTGGTTTGAACATAATAAAACTCTTCCAGAACCTAGACAAAATATAGTACAGTAGAACATTTATAAATTTATAATTAGTAAATTAATAAGATTTATAAATTAATAATCTTTCCGGTCCCAAGACGGAGACCAATTCAAAAAACAACCGCAACCGATAAAATAATAAAATAATAATTTTTCAAAAAATTCCAATATAAATATAAGTCCCGTCAATATCATAAATTAACGATGATTTAAAATAAAAATAATAATAATAAGTAGAAACTTTCAAATATAAATCTAGTAACGTATTTTATTTTTTTAAAAAAAATCAACTAAATCGATTTCATCTTTGATTTTTCCCATTGCTTTCAAAAGCTCTTGTGTAGATTTTTCATAGAGCAACAAAAATTTCGAAAAGTTATTGTCCCATTAAATGCTTAATTTGTGTAATTGGTTTTAAAAACACTGAATCATCATAATTTTCATAGTAAGCCAAAGCTTTAGTGACAATAGTTACAGTCTCCAAAGGTTTATTAACTAATTTTTTATTTATCGATAAATTAATAATTTTAAATTTATAAATTAATACATTTATTAATTAATAATTTTTTGGAGTCCTAATTAATTTATAGATTTTTACTGTAATAAGACTCATAATTTTTTGTTAGATTTTTAAGTTTTAACCTTCTAGTTAACTTTCTCATATGGTTCATCCATTATGTTTGTTAGAGAACTTGTTTTTTTTTACTCCTTGGTAACATGTACAAACTATTCATGCTTTTTAAGTGGTGTTCTGTGGAACATATTCAAAAAAGTATGGCAGTGTACTCAATCTCATATACAAGACTTCATACATCAAAAGAGAGAACAAAATGTAAGAAATTTTGGTCAGTTTTTTATTTGTGAACAAAGAGAGGGAATGAATATAGTCTCATCGAATGAATAGTTTGATTGAAAGCGCAATTTATTCGATCACGAATATTTTTTTTCGATCGAGATGTAAGAGTCATTGTGATTATTAAATCATTGATTGAACCATTTAATCGGAACCGTACAAAAAATTTGTAAAATATTCACCAAAGGCTATAAAGATCACTTGGCCCAATATTCAAACCCAACAAACGAATCGAATAGAATAAGTTTGATTCAAACCTAATTGAGCTATTATTTGGCCCAACACATAAATAATTTCCTATTACCTGGCCGAAATAAAATTAGAGAGTGTCGGTTTTATCAAGAGTTTGAGAATCCAAGGGCCGGTTTGCTCTTATGCTATTTTCAAGGTTATTTCACATAATTAACTTTCGTTACTTCAAAAATAATATACTACTACTATGTGGGGAAAGAAAGAATCAGCAATCGTAAAAATCGATCCCGAAATCGAACAGCTCTACAAAATCTCGAGATCGATCCTCCGAAGAACAGGTTTCTTCGATTCTAAGGATCCAACAGGTCACTCCGTTACTCTCTTCTTAGCTTCTGATGATCTTTTTTATTATTTATGATATGATATGATATAAGAGACTGAATTATGGCATTGGAGTAAATTCTTTATTTCCTTTAAGAAACAAAATCTCACCATTTATTGGATGTGGGGATAATTTTGGTGCAATTGTGTAGATGGATTTTGGGAACTGAAAATTTCGATGTGGGTTTTCTTTATTTTCTCTCTATTTTGTTGTTGAAGTCGTCTGCTGGCTGTTCTGGGTGGGATGTTATGAAAGTTTATAAAATCTCATATGTGACTTCATTTGATTTTGGGGGTTTGATTACGTAGTGTTTTTGTTTTCGTTGATCCTTTTTGAATCATGCAGTTACATTGTTTGTTAAGGAAGAAATTTTGTAGCTTTCAAAATTTAGAAGCTTTCATAGACTCTCCCTTTGATTTTTTTTTTTAGGCGATACTAAGTACCTACCTCTTAGATGGGTTCTGTCAACTGTATTACTAAAACTAACAAAATTTTGGTTTTGAATTTAAGTGTGCTCTGTCAAATTTTACAGAATCTCTGCTATTTATTCTGATTTGTATTTGTTCCTCCAATTTCGGTTCGCTTGTTGATTCTCTGTTCTTTTTTTATTTTCTTTTTCTTTGGTGTATAGGCGGGCATTTGAATCGTAAGAAGATTTGATTTGGGACAATATAAAAAATGTCATCAGCGCAAGACCCCTTTTACATTGTGAAAGAAGAGATTCAAGATTCAGTAAGTTTGCTGACTTCCAGTCATTACTTCTCAGACTAACTGTTAATATCCTGTCAGAACTTCTTCCTAAACCCACTATCACGCTTGCTTCTGTTTGATCACCGGCCATTAGTTTGTTTAGCTTTCCCACTGTCAGGTTGTTCTTTTCTTCCATTATAGTTTGGAAATATTTTGTGTTAAATATAATCTCACTTATGTGGAAAGCTTACTCATTTAGGATGACTAAGGTGCTCCCCCTCATTAATCTGGGCTTGTCTTACGAGAAAATTGAATTCTCTCTCTGGTTTGTCATTTAGGTTAGAATTTCTATTGGCAGAGTAAGTACATCATATAGGCAGATGTTTTTGCTGTCATTTAACTGTTAATTATGTGATGTAGCTCCGGTGTTTGGGGAATAGTTCGGCCATTAAGGTGTACACAGCCTTACGTTATACTTCTTATGACATCGTTTTTGTACCTGTGGCGCGCATGTCAATCGCTCTTGCATATTTAGTTAGGAATCCTGTTTGCTGTAACTGTCTTTCATTTTGATAATTATGTCAGTGGGCATCATCTTTTGAATCTTAGTGGGAGGGTTTTAATTTATTTGTTTGCTGTTTGTTGATTTGTTTTTGTTTATGTGTTAATTAACTTTCCCATCCAGATTATTTTGGTCCTTGAAGATATTATATTCAAATAGCTCTTCGTATACTTAGTTACTTCTACAACCACCTTTGCTTTACTTTCTTGTCTTACTACAGCTGGCATCTGCTCTTGTGATCAAATTTTTTGGCTAAACTTTTTCCTCTTTGCTCATTTAAAAGAATATATATTTCGTGTATTTTTTTTTTTTTGGCAGATTGATAAATTGCTGTCTAGCTTTCATCGATGGGAGCAAGTTCTTCCAGAGAGTGGCGAGCAACTAAATCTTACTAAGGAACTGCTTACTAATTGTGAGAGCATAGAGTGGCAGGTATATATCTTGTTCGTGTGTTTCAGTTAGATTAAATGCTGCCTTCGTGGCATATTTCTGTTGTCGATAACAAATTGTGCCAGTGTCATGTGAGATTATCATGATGTGGTCTTAAATTGAGATTCAATCTAAAGACTTTGAACCTCCATCATATATCAATTGTATATATAATCAGGAACTGAAAGAAACGTGAACATGCCTTATAAGTCAACTGTACAGTATGTTGTGAGGTTACGTGATTCAAAGTTAACTCCCACTTTTCACCTGCAAAATGGAAGCAGTGCATTCTCAAGCATGATATATTGTCTTAAATTGTATCAAGGCTTTCATCATGTTTATTTGTGTCACCGCGAGGAAAGTGGTGATACAGCATTTTCTTGATGTTTACTTATGGTGGATGAATTTAGCACTGAACATCAGTTTTCGTGATAGGAAGGTGGATGAGCTGGATAAGACAGTTTCTGTTGCTGCAAGAAATCCATCTTTGTATGGTATCAATGAAGTAGAGCTTGACAAAAGAAGAAGATGGACCAGCAATGCTCGCAGTCAGGTATCTTCTTTCATACTGCAGATAATTGTGCTTTGTAGCTCATGGCATACACCCGTTGTTGTGGATGTGTTGTTCCACTTATAAGTATGATATCTAGTATCTTGGAAATAGTTTTTTTGTATACGCTTTGCGTTAAGTGATTTTTCTCAAATAACTTTAGTGTGTTTTGATCTTGCTGGGGATAGGTGGGCAATGTAAAGAAACAAGTAGTTGCTCGGAAGGAGGCAAATGGCTTAAGCACTTCAAATGTGAATGGAATGCGGCGAGAGCTTATGAGACTTCCAAATTCTCATCAGACAGACAAATCTAGCCAGTATAAGTCACAGGCTACTGATGATCTCATATCATCAGAATCAGATACACAGCTACTTATCATGAAGTATGAAGTCCTTTGCTTCCTCTTTGCATTTATGTGTGCTGTTTGTTTTGATCTAGCGAGACTTTTGTCAAATCCCTTCTTTTTCCTAGTGTTAGCAATTTGTTTATAGTTTTGTTAATGTCTTTTGTGTTGTTTTCCTTGGGATAAATTAACGGCTTCTCATTCCTCTAAATTTGGGAAGAACATGCCTAGTAACCTTTTGGAATGGGAATCCCGTATTGATTGTTTAGCCAATTTCTTTTTCACTTCTTTTATTCAAATAAGATGCTAAAAGCTAGTTTTTCATAATTGGAAATGTTATCTGATGTTGACATATAGCTATCTTAGTACAGATTAATTTAATTTTTGTTCGCTTTTATGTTGTTATTTAGTGGTACTTTTTTTTAGAGAATCGATTGAAAAAATAAGTGACAGCTGAACTGAGTAACTATTCCATTCCAGTGCAGTTTACATAACACTTGTTGTAAAAGAATTTTATGAAATTTGCCGCAAAATCTGTACCCCTTTATATGATTCGTAGTATCATTCTTTCCTAATGTATTAGTTGGGTTCTGCAGGCAACAAGATGATGAATTGGATGCACTGAGTTATGATGTGGAAAGAATCGGTCATGTTGGCCTCACTATACATGAAGAACTTCTTGCACAGGTACTACTTTTGAAAGATATCAAACTTTGTTTTTGCATGATTTGAAGTTGCTTCATTTGTATTTGCAGTTGCAACATTTTGAACGTGCAATTGCTATTATCTGTCCAAGATTATGTTTAATGGTTATACCTACTGGAATTACCTCTGGCATGTTTGATGTCTTGAAATCATCTTCTCATTTAATTCTGCCAAGCCAATTGTAAGCCTAACCAAAACATTCTCTGCAGGAGAGGATAATAGATGAATTGGATACTGAGATGGATAGTACCTCGGATCGCCTTGAATTTGTTCAGGTATGATTATTGTTGTCAGTTGAGTTTAGCATCTTTAGTTGCTTTGTTTTCATTGTTGTAAACTGACAAGCAAGATTTAGTACACCTTTCATGCTTAATTCTTTTCTTGATTCTTTCTGTCGATTCATGTTTCATGTCTCAGAAAAAAGTTGCGATGGTTTTGAAGAAGGCAGGGGCAAAGGGTCAATTTATGATGATCTTGTTTCTTCTGGTTTTGTTTATTATCCTTTTTGTGCTTGTATTCTTCACTTAGACCATCATTCAGGCTAATACCGCCATTGATGTTACCGCTGTTTGTTGGATGGGAATATCATTGGTTATCTGCCAGCTGTTACCATTTTGATCATTTTTGGTCCTTACTATGAATATCGAAAGGAGTTGTATATGTATTTTGTGTTTCGGCTCCTGGCTTAAGTAGTGTTGATAGTTTTCCTTCCAGCCATTCACTTGGGAAATCATCTTTAGTTTCTGTTAGTGCTACACTTTTATGAGAACTGATCTCAAATTGTTAATCTTCTTACAAAAATCTTGCCACGAACTATTATGTTTTTTCATTCATGGTGAAACCCTTTGAAACCCAAAAAGGGGACTAGTACTATAGAGACCTCTAGTAAAGTTAAGACGATCAAACTCCTCTCCCATTTATTTAGCTTTGTTTTTTGGCTTTTAATGATTCGGAAACTGAAGTTAAACAGTTTTGATAAATTTAACTATTATGATGGATAAGATGCTCTGTTTTTGTTATCAGAACAATTACTATAAGACTTAGTTTTGAATACAAAGTACACTTGAGGGGGTACATGCACGAGGTACCAAGTAGATTTCATTCAATTTTAGCTACATTTTGAATTAAGCCTGAATCACTATATTGTTTGTTTCGTACCCCCAAAAATGCCTTATTTATTGAATAAGTTGTGTGTCAATGGAGGCTATGGATGCTCTATTTTGTTCAAACATGAAGCAGTAATAACAAGGGTCACAATAAATATCATCCCAATCCTACCAATGGCAATAATCGTATTCAATCCAATCAATATACATGTATTAGAATAGTCTTATTCAATAGTATTAACATTAGATAATGTATGTGTTTGAATAATTTGACAATCTAGCATAGTACATCTCGTTATCTCATTAACATAGTACCCCACTTTTCTTCATAAATAAATAAAGCAAAATAAAAAAGAGAAAATTTTCAATCAATTTGACGTATTGACCTTACAAGAATCACAACTCACAAGATTCATAATAGCTCCTATGTTTTCTTCTACCTATGACAACCTCTGTTCCCTTTCCTTCTTTTTTTTTTTTCTCGGTAACCCCGAGGGGAAATTATAATTTACAACCTAGTACAACGTGGCAAAAGACAACCATTCAGGGGTCATAGGACTTTCAAAGGAACGAGTAGACCAAAAAGATATAGCATTTCTCTATGAAAGTTCCTCATGCCTAAAAACAAAAGGAAATGAGGGCTTCGCAGTTCCTTTTCTATACAACAATGTAGAATACCGATGAATTGAACTACCAATTGCTATTAAAGCTCCGAAAAAAATAGGAAGCTCTCACTTTACAAACAACCAAAAAAACCTCACCCCCTCCCCCAAAAAAAAAAAAATCCACAATTTAGCGTTATTCTCCTGGTTCATCAAACAGCTGAAAGGCTCGCCCATTTTCCCAATTCATATGGATCAGCATAATAGTAAAGCTTAACCCTACCTGACAAAGATAGACCTGAAGGGATTTGCGGAACCCTGTAATCCGAATCATCTTGCTCTGCTGGATCATCTGCAAATGAGGAGATATCTCCAAGAAGCCGAAATGCAATCCGCCGAGTATTTATCTGCCTAGGGAAATCAAAGTACATAGGTGTTCCAGCCTTCACTTCTGGGAGACGGTATTCTGCAACTGTCACCATATTGTGGGGCTCCTATACAAGAAGGAAAAGGAAAAGGGAATGTTAGCATTGAATAGGAAAATGTGTCAAACAGATAGGAAATGAGAAACTGAAGGATTCTTATCTAGTATTACCTGGAATGCAGATACTTGAATGTATAACAAAGGAGGGTTGATTAATCTGTCATCTAATAAACTGGTGGCCTTGTGCCCTACATTTAGGTCTGAAGCGGGTGAATGTGTTATCCGTGGCTTTATTGCACTAAATCCATCGAAACGAAAGCCACCTAAAGTAGGTGAAGTAGGGGGAAGATATTGTTCCAAGACAAGGTCATTGCCAATCAATCTCTCAGCCTCAACTGGGACCTGATAGGTAACAACAAATTGTAAGTACATAGCACTAACAACACATAATACAACAAAAACAACAAAAAAATGTTTTTTTTCACCTTGAATCTATTTAGAGATGGGGGCTTGTCCAACCAATTTCGTACACTTGGCTGGTCCAAGCCTCCAGATGATACCGTACTGTCCCTTCTCAAAGGCCTTCCAATTACTAGAATTCTTTTTGCATGAATACAGGGATCACTCTCGATGGGCCCACCAAAAGAGGCACGTCTTGTGGGTTCAGCAAAGGGGTTTTCATCAAGAGACAACAGATTGAAATCCTTCTCAATACTAATAGAGCTCGAGCCAATCTTCTGAAGGCGTAAAGTTATCCAGATAATGCGGCACCGAACAGGATTCTTGAAGACAAATCTTACATGTCTAGGTACTTTCCTGTCACTAGAATCTTCTGGTCCACAAAGTTCAGAAGAAGATCCAATGATGGAATTCACATCCCATTTTCCAACACATGTCCTTTCTTCCTTGTTTATATTATTGCTTGCCCATATTTGCACCTGCAAATGGAGAGCGAGAATGCTCATTCAATTAATTCTGAGAGTTTTTGAGTTGCAAAATTTAAAGGGATGGATCAGGAAACACAATCTTTTCCTACAGAGATCTGCCACTCAGAATATGGTCATCGAGATTAGACTCGATATAGAAGTTTCAGACTCAGACTGAGTTTTGAGAAAGATCATGCAATACTTCCTGGTAACCAAGCATGCCAAAGTACCCTTGTCAATGAATGACATTTGACAAACATGGCAGTTCTAATACAGCACAAAGATTGAATTTGTATGATAATCTTCAAAATAGTAAGGTCCATATTTCGGAATTCTGTACCAAGTTTGTCAAATCTTTTTCAGACCCAGGAGCCATTATGATAAGCAAAATAATGAAGGCAAGGAAAAGGCTTGGCTAACTTCTACTGAGACTTGAATGAAACAGAAGTTTAAATAATCCTTGCTTTTCTTTTCTCTAAGAAGATAGAAGATATTAAAATGATTTTTTCCACGGTCTCACTTCCCGCACTAGGCAGTCTATTATTTCTGTGCATGAATCATCATAGCATATTAATCAGGCAAAAATTTTGAGACATTAAGAAAAAATAAGGTGAGGCACCTGACTATTCAGAGCTCAAACAGAGGCATTATGGACCCAAGTTGATTTATTAAAGTTATGAAAATTTATAATTTTACATGTGCAAATATACTGATTGAAAGGAAAGAAAAGGAAACTTACAATGGGAGTATTAAAGTTATAAACATTTATAATTTTACATCTGCAAATATACTGATTGAAAGGAAAGAAAAGGAAACTTACAATGGGAGCATCAGATACTGAATAGCCGCAAGGACTAACAAGAAGAACAACACCAGAAACATCAGATAGGTTGCTTAGAACAATAGCAAAATCAACAGATGAAGCACTTGGCGAAGCTTTCCAATACGAATGGTGCGATCCAAAAGCCAAAGGCGCCAGTAAAGATAAGAAGGATGCTGAGCCTCCAGCTGTTTCCACCTGTAGCACATAGTAAATATAAATCAATGGACACTTAATGAATAATACGAATGTGCAATATGGATGGAACAAACAAGTTAAATAGACAGGTTGCGTGGTCACGATACGAATTTGCAACCACTTGACTCAGTTAATCCAAGAATTTCAATGGTCATTCAGCATACACATTTTCGCTTGTGTCTTATATTTCAAAGTTGCTAACTAATATTTGCACAAATAAGTTTCATTCAATAAGATGTAAGTTTCATACAATAAGACGATCAATTTAAAATATGTAAGTTATTCAGGGTAAGGAAAAGCTTTAAAATATGCAATCAAATCAGGATAAGCTCCAACTATTCAAAGGATTAATTACTTGAGTAAGTTTTTTACTAGCATAATTACATACAACTACCCCACTTTTATAGACAAGTCATAGCTATAACTTTCAACATACGAATGAACTTGATCTTCGGTACAATCTTTTGGCCTTCGAAGAACATCATAAATAGTTCTTCAAATCTTACATAAATCTTAATGCCAGGTGTCCAAAATTTGTTCTTCAACACAGCCATTATTATTTTCCAGATGTCAGTCCTCAATACAATTATAAATTTCACAAAAGCTAGATATTTGTTTGAGTTACTATTACATTGTCAAAGTCTACAAGGATTCTAAGTCCAAGGAGATCTATGAAATTTTTGCTAAACTGTCTTTTAGTACACCATGTTTTTAAGAAATCATTTTCAATAAATGGGATGAAATGAAAATGATCAAAACCTATTATACAGAGTCTCTTTATTGCGCGCTCAGCCACTCATGGGTGGATGGAACTATCACTATCTACAAATTTCTTCAGGTCAATGATAAGAGCATACAAGTAAATAGAAGCACTAACATTGCATGAGATGAGACATTCCTACTAAAAAGAACTCAATCAGTTGGTCTTCTCAAGGTAAATTGTAGTATTCCATTACTAGCTTTATTCTCTATGATCTTTCTGTCTTGGCCATTTAGATTCCCTTACCATACTACTAACATATCTCCTTCTAGCTCACAAAATTTACCCATGTTTCTGTTACATTTTAGTTCAAACAAACCGATCTTCTGGATGTGTCCAGTAAATTTCAGCCAAGTTCTCAATTAGCTCACTTGGGAGGTCATCAACAGTTTGCTACCTTATGTGCTCCTGATAATTTTGATCTAGCTTGTGTTAATGAGGACTGATTTAAGGGATCTACAGATTAATAGATAGGTTCAAAGTAATTATCTACCACTACCAGGATCAGAAGAAGAGGAGATTATTCTCAATGTCAACAAAATCAATGCAAAACTAAAAAATATACTAGGGAAGGTTCAGAACTATACTGGATGCAGAAAGCTTGCATGGGGAAACTCGGCTATTGATTCCTCTCCATTAAGTAAGTGCAAACCCTTTGCAGAATTCTCCATGTAAGAAGACTGATTTCTTTCCGGAAGACTATCAAGTGCTGAAAATCCAATGACATGGTCCAGAGCTTTACTTGCTGCCTCTTCAGCACGCAATCCCCTTCTTTGGCTAAGCAAGACTCGAACATAATCCAGAATCAACGCATCCAGCACAATGTCATGGCAGCATAGTTTACAAAGCAACCCATCTAATGTGGCTGAACGATTTGAAGATACATCAGCTGAGCTTCCATGGCTTGATCCTCCCTGGCTATTCATGGTGTTCGAGACCTCCCTAGAGTTAAAACTGGAGAGTAGGAGAGCGCCTTGTCCTGCACAACAGACTTTACAGACTTTTCTTTCACATTCAGAACACTGAAAAATAGAGTCAGGAGTTGTGGAAGATTTCGAGATGGGGGATGCATGTGGACGAGATCCACCTTCAGCATGAACCTCACACATGCCACCCAAACAGCTCTCCCCGATCCCAGATATATTCCAGAAATCGATAATTCCATCCTTGGTCTTTTCAAGACCGATGGAAGCAATGATTTTGTCTTCAAGAGAGGTATGCGCAAGCAATGCAAGTGCTCGCGAGACCCTGCATAATCTTGCTGTATAGGAATCATCAAGCAATAAATTTGGATTTATACTTGCAGGATCCACTCCAACTGCTAGTAACGCTCTATCTCTCTGAGCAGCAGAAAGATTTAAACGGAGCCGTTCAATCTCAAGTTTCATGGATTCCATGAAATCTAACTTTTCTTCCTGAAAAGTTGAAAGGGGAAAGTCAACTACGAACGAGGATTTTAACATGATTTAAGAGAACAATTCATGCATGATTTTGCACAATCCAGGTTCTGATACCTAGGTACAATTGGTAATGCGATTAAGCACTAAAATGGAAACAAATTAAGCAACTAATTGATTGAAAGGCCCCAATCTACACCATTTCCAGAAATATAGTTAAAGATTATATCTGAAACGCCATCTACACACACAGACACACACACAAAAAAAAAAAAAAACTCTGTGAAACACCAAATGTTATGCATATAGTAATTAAAAGATCATGCACCTCAACCTCATCAATCCTTGATCCTTGTCAATCCAAAAGATGATTTTAACAAAGAAAACTCTAGAACTATCATTCGCTTCAATGATTCCCATCAACTTAATTTCACCAATAGTTTCCACTGCTTACCCGATCAATCATCGAAAAACCTAAACAAAATGGTGACTCTAGAGCTTCAAGTCCAAGTCAACTAATGAATCCGCAATCACAGGAGAAAACTCATTGTTACGCAGATGTCTTAAGCATTCAAACAAGAGATGATCACAAGAATTCAAAATATCGTCAAGCTTCTAATACTGCTGAGAGTAGCATATTCACATGGACATTTTTTCTAATCAAGGAAGGAATATCAGAGAAGCAAAAATAAAAAATAAATAAATTAGAACAAGAGGAAATATAACAAGGGGAAAACATCCATATGATAGCGACAAAAAGTAGTAGATAAAATTAATTTGTTAACATAATTAAATAATATTTGAGAACATTATCAAAGGTGTGATCCTTTAACATCATCAAAGGTATAAGAAATTCCTCTAATTCATTAAGAAAAAGGAAGCAAATTCTACATTAGCAATTCACACGAGTTATGTACTATCAATGTGAGACAAGGAATTTTTCGTTAACGTGTACATTCATTTCTTCATATTTTCTGATTTCAGACACTCTAACTGCACATGTTTAATCAGCTTAAAGAAGTAACTTGAAGTTTAATATATGCGTTTCTAAGTTCACATTGCAGCTCCAAAACACAAACCAGGGACTTCAATCAAGGCAAAATATAATATTGAAACAAAAATCACAGGACATTTGAACTTTTCCTCCAGGATTTATAGCTTGAAGAGCAATTCTTGTGACTTACACACTTTGAGCCACACAGTGCCGAAGGACCTTTACAATATTGAAATCCAAAAATTACTTGTCCTACCCAGAACTCGATCCCATCATATCCCAAGTCTTCCTTCAACAGTGTGGTGATAACTCACAAGGTAAACAAAAATTATTTTAGATGATGTCAAAACCTATCAAGAATCTGCAATAACTACGATCTGTTAACACCGTAAAACTGCTCAGAATCCTCACTCTTCCGCAATAAAATAACGGGCAAGTCCTTTGATAAATGCTACTGTTTGTAAATATTATTTTCCAGGAAATAACGCTTTAATTTCAAAACAAAAGAACATTATCAACTGTGCCACATTTGCAAATCTAGAAACATGCAAAAGAGCATACACGAACCCAAGCAATATGCACATCACAGTAACATCCTTGCAAACAGAGGCATCCAAGATAGCAGCACATCTTACAGGTTGTAGGTTGGACTCCAACAATATCATCAAATTGAAGCCCAAGATCAGCTTCCACCAACATTTATGCATTAATTAATATCGAATAATATGTAACGGACTACATCAAAATGGCTCAATTAAATTCCACTGCTTAATTTTAGCGAAGTTGCTGGAAATCAATACATCAAATGCACCAATGCATCTTGGGTCGTACTTAAACAGCTTCTCTGTATTGAAATCATGAATATGCTGTTGTTTACTTCTATATCTCTAGAGCTCTTAATTAAATAATATAAACAACTTACTTTGCAAACAACAAATTGGAAAGTAGTCATGAAAATGCAAATGTACAGAATGACAATGGAAAAAATTTAAAGCCCCCTGAACAATAAGAAACTATTAACATACCATACGAGGTCCTGAAAGTAGTTTGAGACACTCGATGTATTGTTGAGTGCTACTATCCGATGGCTGTTGAGATGACATGACCTTTGCATTATCCCCCTTTCCACCATTCTGATGATGAACAACAGCATCATCCAAAAAGTCAAGTAAGTCACTTCCTTCAGGTATAATAGTTTGTACAATTGGTTCTGAAATGGAATCTGAACTTCTTTCTTCTCCAGTCAAAAGGTCTATCCACGAGTTGGAAGATTTATCTTCTTTGGCATGTGACATTTTATCATCGGATAAAGGAAAACCAAATGGATTCGTATCAGATACAGAGACAATAGCTTCTTTTTCATGACCTGCCACACGCCCAAGAGAAGAAATTGAACCACAGCCTTCCCCAGTTAATATGTTCCTCCATGGAAGACATACTCCAAGTACTTCTATCTGCAAAATAAGGGGCGTAAACCATGATTCTCTGATGGAGTGGACAGAAGAAATATGAAACATAGGAAAAGCACTCTCTCCTTCCCCCCACCGGCCCACCCCACCCCCACCCAAATTACTTGGCAATTCACAAGTGAGAAAATCAAACACTAGCCCAAAAAACTTACATTGCATCTAATCACTTTCCTCCTTTTATATATTTCAAAGAAATAATAAATCAATATGGAAGCAAACTAAAGTTTGCAGAAACATCCACTAACCAAAGCCCCCATACATTAAAATTGCAAAAATCCCTTTATCCCACTATGTGGGGTCGGCTACTGGCCTTTATCCCACTGTGTGAGGGCGCCTACTATGTTTAGCGTAGTCAAGCTGACAAAATCATACAGCTTAAACCATAGTAAAAAGAGCTTGTAAGGGAAAAGGGGTAGATACGCAAATATAACCAAATGATTTTTTATTACCTCCCCAAGAGTCATTGGGCTACCAGCCACGGAAGGATAAAAAGTAAGCGCAACAACACGAGTGAGGAAATCCAATTCTCCTTCAAGTTCCTCAAAGTCATATAATGAAGAAAGGTTTGAAGTATCTTGTGCATGTAAACGAGTACCAGCACCTGTGATAGCTGTATCTTCTGCACTAATTGGGCCTGGTATAGGTATCAAAATGTTTGTCCCACTTGCACATTGAGGAATAGACGCTGCCTACAGGCAAGCAACATCGGAAATTCAAAATTACTTTCATAGACAACATAATCTCCTGCCTGGGAAAAAAGGAGTATTCATGAATCTAAAGCAAGTATGGCACCTAGAACAATGCTACTAAGCTAAATACTGAAAAAGGTCCATCTTTGGTGTTTGGAAAGAGTGTAAATAGCCTAATATCTATAAAACACGCTGAAGAAAAGCTGAACAAGATTATTTTGAACAAAAGCCTGATTTGTTCATGTTCCTGTTTACTTATAACATACAATGTGATACTGCAAAAGCGTGGTTATTGTGATGTGTGCATAACCAATACAAGGAGTCACTAACCCTTACAAGGGACAAACGTAAGAATCAAACTGCAAATGAAGTTCAACATATTTAACAGTACGTTTGTAACAGACCTCGACAACAAGTTTAAGCCCATCCAGAAAACGGCCTGTCCTCACATCGACTGTTGATGGGAAAGTAGAATCATCAGCTCCATGTGAAACAGTAAGAAGAAGCTGGCTAACATGGCATGGTTCACTGAGATATATAAAGAGTTCAACCACATCCGCCTGTGGACAAATCTGGAAGTAAAAACACATTCAGTATGATGCTTAATTGGGTCAAAGATTCAAGTTTTGTAACTACAAATAATAGTAACAATAAATCAGAAATTGATTAATAAGAAAAAATTCTTCCTCCAGAATTCAGAGAGACCATCCATTATATAAGCAAGAAGATCAATGCCGGTCATGATAAATTACCCAAATAGTATCTTTCGTTTTGAAACTGAGAAGACCAGCTCCCCCATCAGAACGTGGAATCACACTTGCAACGGGCTTCAGAAGGCAACCAAATGGACGAGTGGGTACCTATTAGAACATTAGACATTCAAACATCACTTTTCACAGATCAAAAGATTGAAAGATAATCTGTAAGCTATCAAGTAAGAAATAGTAAAATCACTTAGTTAATCAAATCCATTCCCAGACACCACAAATTGCTGAGTATTCAAAGATCTAGACTTTATCAAGTTCACTGTTGTTAACTTGCATATTAACCATTTTCAAGTTACTAGAAACAAACTTCCACTTAGGGACAATGCTGGTAAAGATGCAGAAGACCAAAAACCTTGATATGCCAACCAAATCAAACCAGCTCAAAAGCGCAAACCTTTACAACAAATCTCAAATAAAAAACCACCTAAAATCAAATAAAACCCAAAAAAAAAAAAAACTCAAAAAAACCAAGTCCATGTTTGTTTACATCTATTTCCAGGATACTTGAAGCATCTAAATAATCATCCATGCTTCATTCGAATTTGAGAAAAAAATGAAAAAAAAAAAAGAAGAAAAGAATTCCATACAAAACACCTCCCCTCCCCCTCCCCCCGCCCCCAACAAAAGGGGGAAAAAAAGGAAAAAATAGATTGTCATATACGAGCAACACAATGAACCTAGTTAAAATTTTGGCAACAGGAAGAAAAGTGAAAACTTTTGGGAATTACCAAGACAGATGGCGGAAATCACTTAGCAGAACCAAACAATGACTGAAAGTATAACAAATATATCAGAAGTCACATACATGTAAAGGCTGCATCATAAGAGAGGGTAGATGTTTAAAAAGCCTCAGTCCAAGAAAAATCTCAAATTGCTTCTGACGAGAGCTATCAATCACTGCATTTTTATATCTTCGTTGTAGAGTGATTTTCATATTCTGTGCAGCAGAGAACTGTTTAAACTTGCCTCCTTCTTCATTGAATATGCTAAGGATTTGGCTATGCATAGCTTTCGAACCAGTATACAATGTGGCATGAATATCACCGGCAACCAAGAAAATGTCAGCCAGTTGTGATACCGGTGACAAGATGGTTGACCTCTTAAACTCCTCAAATGTCATATCAAATCTTTTCCAAGGTTTATCAGGACAGGGATGATTCCAGGTGGTCGTCCTTGTATTATGATCAATATAGTATGTTTTACCAGTCACAGAATCAGACCGTTTCTCCCAACCAGGTGGTAATGGAGCAACATAACCACCATAACTATTAGTTGATTGATATCCATAGGCCATGTCACTATCAAGTGATATACCCAACCGTCTACACTGCTCAACAAAAACTTGAAGTGAACCAAAGTAGCTCGCAGCATTCGTTCTATCCAATGAATCAGCGCAATTGAAACGTATTACTCCATTTTGATGGGAACGTAAACAGAAAGCACCATCAAAGTCATCAGTACAAATAATTTCACCTTTGCAATGTTGAATCCGCTGGCGTGTTGGAAGATAATCTCCTTCAGAGATGCCAATAGAAACGGTGGGTGATTTTAAGAGGTACCACAGTCCCTCAATTGTCTGCTGTTCACCTTTCAATTTAACACTTGCATGCCAATCATAATTGATCAAATGCACTCGAGTCTGAGGAAGTTTTCCCATGGATCTAATATGATTTAAAGCTTCCTCAAAATGTTGGACGAGTATTGATTCTGATTTTCCTTCTCCATTGCGCAACAAATTAACACAAACAATGGGAACCAAAGCACTTCTTTTCTGATTTCCACTTACAGCTACATCTAGGCTTCTTTTATCATATCTGTTACTTAACCTTTGGAAATATTCAGCACTTCCTTTATAGGGGTCACGATCAGAAACATATATTTCAGCTTCAGCAGCAGTAATTTTCAATTCTGCCCCCCACCAGAGAGGAATGGTACCTCTTCGCCACACATAGGTATTAAAAGGAATGCTTTGACCTGGTCTTCGAGGTATCCATACAATTTGCTCACATTCCACTTCATTGCCTAGCAATAAAGGAACGAAAGTAAGAAAGAGGGTAATCAAATTGACGGAAAAGAAACACTAAAACATGTTCGACTTTACAAGACCCCATAGAGAATATATCAAATCAACAATGAGCCCTTAGTAAACCAGTTCTTCTATCACACTGCACTCATGGAAAGGAAAAGGAATTGGCATTCAACTAAAAGCTTAAGCAAGGAAAATCATAACAATAAATGAATACCACGTAACTGAGAAAACCTTACTTATTGGCATGAGATGCATTAGAACAGCACTAACACCTAGTAAGGTCTGCAGCAGCAGAGCGCTGCAGAAAGACGAGCAAGAATACTAAAGGAACAGGGAATCATAGGAGAAAAGAATATAAGAACTGCATGAGATAAACTTGACAAAAATGAGGGCAAGCACAAAGCAGCAGGAAACAAAAAACCAACAAAAACAAAAATTACGTCAGTCTTGCGGACCATTTATGACAAATCGATTAAGTTTTGCAGACAACATGATAAATAACCTTTAGCTTTAATGCTGCAAGACGCAACCCTATCTAATTAAAGGGGAAATTTTACATGCAGAAAACCTACCAGTGCCATAGCAAGAATTTATGCCCCTCGCCAAGTAGCGGGTACCCGGATGCAGCCTACTTCGACGAGCAAGAAGTGCAACAATTCCTTCCTGCTGCCCTAAACTTCCAAAGCTTCGGCAATCTGCAAAGCCCTAGAAATTGGTATCACTAAAATTACTCTCTTGTTATAGATATTCAAACATCATTGAAAATCAATCTACACTAGTCTGTGGCTTATCAATCAAACTGAGTTAAAATAAATCCCAAAACAGCTCAAAAGAAACGCAAGATTGAAAATATCAGAACAAAAACATTAAAAATGGTCTCTGAATATCCAAAAAAAAAGAAAGTACATTCCAAACCGATTGCCTAAGAAACAAGCATAAGCTGAAAAGTCCAGAAAGGAACAGCCTAATCCACACTAATTTCAGATGGCGATATAGAGCCATACAGTATAATCAGAGAATTCTATACAAAGAACATCCAAAAGCCATTGTTAAAAGCGCTTTGAAAAATAACTTCAGATGAGGAAACCAATATAGCAACAAAGAATCCCCATTCCTGTTCATTCAAAAACTATAAACAGAGAGATTAGCTGCAGTTTGCACTATCCAATATGAAAAATAACTTCCCCATTTTTCACCTGAGTTGTTTAATCCTAACTCAATTGTGCTCCTCTTTCATTCATCAAAACCAAACTTTCACCCAATCAACCAGTCAAAGCACAGCTACTTCATCTCATGAAGTGAAATGTGATGAATTTAAGTAGGACCCCAGTACCTGTAAAGCTAACCGAAACTAAAAAATTCTTTAATGGGCAGGCATATCATCTTTTCTTGGCAGATACCAGTATTTGTACTGATCTTGCATTGTACATTTACCCATATGTTTCTATCACTTTACGTAATTTTTTAAGAACATAATTGAGATAAACACAAACATACAGGGATAAAAAAGTAATAAAAACACATTATTTTATATTAAAACTCAATCTATTAATACTTATTTATTAATGTAGCTTGTAAGTAGAACAGCACTTTTTTAAATCTTTAGATCTTAGATGTTGACTATCAAAAATTATTTGCATGAAGGATAAGGAACTAATGTAAAATAATATAGATCTCATAATTATTTAGTATACAGTTCATACTTCACAGTAATCAATCTTGTACGAACACAACCAAATAGTTTTCAGATTCAACTATAGTTATTAGACATTGTGAGAAGTAAAGTTTAAGAGATCAATGCGTAGTGCTCTACCACAGCTTCCCAAACAAACAAGAACTAGGGGGCAGAAGTAAAAGTTTTGACTCCTATCTGGAAAATATGTCAGCTTGATAAAAAACAACAATAATGGTAAAGCAAGTTCTGAAATAATTATCTAAAGAAGAAAATACCTGGAGTAGAGTGGCACAATGCCGATCAAGTCCAATGTTTCTGAAGGGGCTTGAGAACCATTTGTTCCAAACAAATTCTTCATCTGGGTCTTGAATTGACTTGTGGCTCGGAAAAGGCCTCGTAAGATCTCTATTTTCGCAAAAATAATATTTCCCATCAACGTCAAGATCCGTCAACTCTTGAACATTTTTAATTTCTCCTCTCCCTTGGGGTTGACTGTTTTGAAGTGAAATTTTGATCCATTGGCTCTCACTCACAGTGTATACACAACCTCCACCAGGTAAATTTGGAATGGTGGCACTTAATTTTGTCGCAACGAGCAACATACCAAAACTGCCAAGGGCGGCATAACCTAACAAAGCCCTGGCATATGTTATATTTTTACATGGCCATTTGGAACCATTAGTAATGTAATCCAAAGCTTCCTGTTGGGAACCAAATAAATCATAACCTAACTTTGCCATGTAGCAAAGCGCTCCAGTCGTAGGATCAACATAGACCACCTGGGTGTCTACTCTAGAAGACAAACTAACAATAATGTATACTTCACTAGAAGCCAATGTCACGACGACAACAGATGTGTCCCGCAGTAGCCTACCTGCAAGATTTTGTGGAAAAACAAAGCGATAAAGATCTATTGGAAATCAAAGATTCAACTAAAATATCACAACACATGGTTATCCAAAAATAGACGACAGTAATTGTTAACAAAATATGCTGAAACTAAAACATATTGTCAGTTGTAATAGCACCGAGACATGTCTTATGCATTTCTTTGACACGGTTAAACTAATTATCAACTTGCATAGCTAACCCTACAATACAATCATGTATCCAAATCACACAGGATGAGGGTTGATCCCTCTCTTCAGCACAATAGAACATTTTGTGCCAGTGTTCAACTGCAGTCCTCTACTGCAGTCCAAACGACGTCAGCTTACATTTCATTTTGCCACTTAAAAGTGGAAAGTGTTTCAAGTTGAAAACTAAATGGGAAATGAAAATGTTGTTTGGATGATATTTTGAGCAAAAAGTTGTTTGGATGTTGGTTTTGAAAAGAAATATTTTGAACTACATTTTGAAATATCAAGCACGAGTCATCACTAAACAATTAAATACTGTCAATTATAGTCACTTTAAAAAAAACATTTCTAAAAAAAATCACTAAACAACGGAATCTTGCCAAATTTGTCACTGAACTATTGTTAGTACTAAAATGGTCATTACACTAACAAAAAATGTTTCGAGTTGGAATTTAAAATGTAAATCAGAAAGTTGTCTGGATGATGTTTTCTTTTCCATTGGGTTTTGTGTTTAAGAGGTAAAATGAGTGAAAATGTAAAATGAGTTGTGAAACAAACAAACACAAATCTCAATCTATTAAGAGTTCTGGTTTAAATGAGGGGATAGGGAGAGGATCTAAAACAGCTCATCATTACGACATAACTCTTTTGATCCACTACTATGCAAATCTCCTCAGTTTACACAAACTTTTCGGTACAATGAGGAGCCAAATGCAAGTATTTCTTGATAAAACCTAATGCTATGAGTGGAAATCCTTAAAATGGCATTGCTAGATGCAAAAATAAACAAAATCTAAGGAAGTAGGCTTACCAGGTGATTCCATTATACAGATTCAAGCAGTCACTCTTGAATGACTTATCTCTCTCTCTTCTCTTCTGGTTGGGTCAGAAACCATCTGAAGGGTTTCAACAGAAAGCATTGATCAGCAAGTCAATAATAAGAATTCCATGATCATCACAATGTTCTATCTTAAATACAACAAAAAAAAAGACCATCCATTAAGTTTACAGAAATGGGCCCGCCTTCAAAAGTCTATACACTTAGATCCACTGCGTTTACAGAAACAGGACACACCACCTTGAAAAGTGATAGACTTAGATCAAAGCAACAGGTTCTTCACATATAAAACTTTCATACAGTTAAATAACACCATGTTATCAGTAACAAAAGGGAAGGAAGACAAACGGGCAAACCTCAAATACTGTGCTCAGAAAAGCAACCAAATATCAACTATAAGTTTTACCTAAAAAATCTAACAAGAGATGCTATAACCACCGATACAAGTCACATTAAACAGCAAAATAAACCCAAATAAAGAAACCCACCAATTCCCAGTTCTGCATTGCCCATCAGCTACACAAAAGAAAATTCTTCAAAAACGGACACAAATTCAAACACAGGAAAAACTAAAATAATAGTAAGGAAAGCAGCCACCTCTAAGGATGAAGAATAAATTGATTGGTAAATAATTGAAAAAAAAAAAACAAAAAGAAGCTTCGTGAGTAACCTGTCGGATCCAAAGGAAAGGTTTCCGATCCTGAAATTGAAGAAACCTCCGGTGGATTTGGATTTGAAAATTGCCAGACTATTTGCTTGAGAATGTGGAAATTTTCATCTCTTTTTTTTTCTGGCAAACGAAAACCACTAAAGCAAACCGGACCGGCCTCCCTATCGAACCGGGTTTTACGCGCTTACAGCACCGATATTTATACTTCGATCTATAAAGTAGTGGTTAATTAAAAAATGGCATCTCGCACTCCATTTTACTGAATTTTGTAAAATATCAAATACACCCCTTTGACTGGCAAAACTTTGGAGTCAAACAGAGACAAGAATGAAGTGAAAATACAACGAAAACATTCAGGCCCAAAAGAATAAAAAAAAGAAAATGAAAGAGTGAAGGGAAAAATAGTCAAAGTGCTAAAAAAAGATTATTATAAAAACTAAACACATAAACTAATCATTTTTCCGAACCAGTTGGAATCACAATTGACACTCTTTTGTATTTTCATGTATATTGCTTAGTCACTATTCATATCGGGGAAAAAATATTATTTTTACTCAAAATTTTGCCCTCGTCGTCAATCATGCCTAATAGATTTTTGGTTAGCCAATTTACCCTAATGTTTGAGATTTTCGCTAATTTTATCCAATCGGCCCATTTTCTGTCCAAATAACGGATCTCCATTAGTTTTTTAATAAAATAATAAATTTAATTATAAAAACACCTCAGTAATTTTTAAAATTTTAAAAATAATTCTTAAAATATATAAAAATAACAAAACAGTCCCTTTTCACTTTTTTATTTTATTTTTTTCTATTTTGTTCCATTTCTTTCAACTACTTTTAATGACCATAAAAGTCTATTATATGAGTTTTTAAAAAATATTTATTTATTTTCAAACTCTACCGTAAAAATTAACCTTTGCATAGTTGTAACACATGATTGTATTTATATAAGCATGTTAATTTTTTTAATAATATAGTTTAGTAATAAAGACACTATTTTCCTGATTTATTTTATTCTTCCTAACATAAAGATTAAAAACATTTAAATGAAACTAATATTCCACATAAAAAAAATATTAGCTCAAATAAAAAAAATATTAATATATTTAAGTGTATTACAATTTAACTCAAGAGACTATAACTTGCATTAATATAATTCATAAAAAAATAACTAAAATATAAAATAATTAAAACCTTAAGAAAATCCTCCAAACATAAAGTTTTCCTTCTTGAATCTAAAACCTATTTTCTATCACAACAACTTATTACCATATTTTTACCTCCATTCATTTATTTTAAACTAAAATCATATAGAATAAGTTAGTAAGACTTCCTCTATAGTTAGATATATTAACATCCCTGGCCAGTGCTTATCTTAGCCGGAAAGACCAGGCAAACAGACGAGCAAGGAAACCAGGCCGGAATCCAAACCACCACCCTGGCTGATACCATTCATCCAGGAGCTATGCCATGTCACCACTACGGGATCAAAATCTCTATCCATCCTTAATTAAAATATCAATAATCGAGATGCATGGAAAAGTTTCACCCGACTCTCAAGCACATCTGGAATCCACAACTTATTGTGCATCATGTGGCCTCTTTTTCCCCTTAAACAATTCATCATAACGGTACTTTTCCACCCAATGCACTTATTGTTGAGTTTTCCGATTGAACTCGGAATCGGAACCAATCTCAAATCATCGTATTTTAATTAAAAGAGAAGAAGGAGATAGAGCTTCCATGTATAATTTATGTAAACAAAAGCCAAATGTTTGATTCAGACAAAAGGATTTACTCAGACATTGTCTGAGTACTTCAAACTTTAAATTAAAACAAACTTAAAGAAAAAATTACCTTTGAAAGCTTCTTCTATTCTTCAAACTTGAAAGATATATTTACTGAATGATTTCTTTACAAGGGAGAGAGAGAGTTTCGAGAGAAAAGAAGAAGTAAAGAGAGAATCCTTGGAGAGAATGATGCCCTCCAAATGAACTTCTACATGCTATTTATAGACATTTCTAAATACTATTTTACAAAAAATTATTAATTCTTGTCATTATTTGACATGTTTTTCTTCAGATTTGACTGATGGTGGGGTCCACTTGTATTAAATTTCAAAAGTAGATTCCCACTTTTGTCACTTCAATTTCAAAAGTAGATTCCTACTTTTGTCACTTCATTCTTTTTCTTTTCCTTTGGCTGATTGAGCTGTTTCTTGGATCTCTTTATTCTGATTTTGATGAATTCATCGTGATCGTCATCTTTTACGGTGATTGAGATTCTCGGCCAATATTGCAAAAGAATTTTCTTCATTGGAAGTTATACTCTTCATCGAAACATCTGATTTTTCTGAAATATTATCATTGTCGAGATTTTTTAAATTTCTCATGAGATCTGCTTTAACTTCTTTCATATAGGCGGATATTATCTCTTCCTTATTAATTGCTCCTTCCTGAAGCTGAATTCGTTTTGTGATGTGTTTGAACGGACTCTCTTCATCTGGGTTTGCTTTGAGCTGTCTTTTGTCTTGAGTATATTCCTTGATTTTTTGGGCAATTTCGTCCAGCAAGTCCTGTCCTTCCATTCTTTTGGTATTGTGATTCATTTTTGTTAATTTATCCCAAAATTTGGTATAATATGTCTTATAAAGACACGGAATTTGAAATTCATTGAATCCCACCTCAGGGACCCATTTATAAATCCAGGGAATCGAGAATTCAATAAAGAAGTATAACAGAGTGATTTTTCCTGGAGCACAGATATGACTGTGTTGAAGTTTATCAATGATAGGGGAAGATTTTAACCATTGATAATATAATTTTGAAAAATTATCTGGCAAAATTTTTGTTGTTGGGCCATATAATGCCCACCACTGAATAAACCAATTAGGTATGGGAGAAGAATATACATGGGAGCATATCTTAATGAACCAAGTATGCTTTTTTCTGGGGTTTTCATAATAAAAAGTTTTGTAAAAACTTTGAATATAATCCCAGTAAGTAAATTTCAAAGGAGGAGAAGTAGGAGTATTACGTACTTCTCTTTCGAAAGGGTTGAAATTCCCATTCCTCGAAGATAAAATCTTTTTGATAATAATTTTGAGAAGTTATAAACTTGATTGTAGTCGATTAGGCTGAAAATGTGTTATTTCACGGGTTTGTTTGAGAATATTCTCATAATAATTTACAGGTTTGTATGACTCACCGGTATCATTACCCTTTCGCTAGATATCTTGAATATTACCCATGGGTCATTTTTCCACTTGAATATCAGCGTTTTCAAGAAGGAATATTACCTCCTTTGTGGATCCTTTTTCATATGACCGGATATCATCACAGTCGGTGTCACTACTTTAGCAGCAAAGGTATCACCTTGTTGCTCTTGGATATATTCCATAATCTGCTTATATAATGCAGAATCATTCTGAATAAAATCCATTATTTGGACCAATTTCGCATTCGATGAGGAGGATTCCTCCTGAGATTTTGAAAAATCAGCAGCTATTAGCTTTTTATTCCCATGTTGTATTACAGGGTTTATTGTTCTTCCTCCACGACCTCTATTAGGGCCGCGTCCTCTATCGGGCGGATACATAATCCTGTAAAATTAGAGAATTATTAATGATAATTTTGCTTTACAATAATTCAACCTTTCTTCACTTTCAGTTAATCTTTCAGTGAAGTCTTCTATCATGTCATAGACAAATTCAAGGTCTTTTGAAACAGATATTATCTGTTGTGGTGAAGTAAATTCATCAGCACAATCAAGAATTGTATTACGAACTCGTAAAAAGTGATTTAGTCTATGCTTTGCAAAAATATATTCCGTTCTACAATGCTTATATTCAGCAACAATCTTATTATAAGCAATATGTATTACGGATAGTGGTTTAAGATAATCAACTTGTGGCCACTCCATCCTGCAAATATTCACGTGATAAAAAATCAGGTAAAGAATTATCACTACCTTTTTTATATAAATTTCAAAATCAAAAGGGGCTAAATTAGCCTGCCATCAAGCATATATTTGCTTTGAAGAATCATGCTTATAATCTTTATAAATCATGTGTTTAACAGCAAGTGCATCAGTATGAATGACAAACGACTGATTAAATAAATCATCTTGGAATTTTAATACACATTTTACAATAGCAAGAAATTCTTGTGCAACCGTTGCATATTTCTTTTGAGGTTCTGTCTATTTACCAGAATGATATCTAATAAGATATTCATTATTATCATGAGGGTTAATTTGTTTCAAGATTCCACCGAATCCTATGCTACTAGCATCTGTTTCTATTATCTTTTTCCAATTCGGATTTGCTAATGTTAAACATGGTAAAGTTTTTACTTTTTCCTTTATTTGCTTAACTAATTGAGTATGCTTTTCTGTCCAATCAAATTTAATTGATTTTTTAAGCAAATCATATAAAATTGCTAAATCTTTTTGTAAATTCTTATAGTATGGTGAAATATAATTTAAACTTCCTAAAAATCCCTGGAGTTGAATTTTCTCAGTGAAAACATCAGGAAATTTAGAAGAAAATTCAATTGATCGTTGAATAGGGGTTATTTTCCCTTGACTTATTTGATGACCAAGAAATCTTATATTATGTTGAAACAAAAGCATCTTTGGTTTAGATATTACTAAGCCATTCCGTAAAATAACATCCTTTAATATATTAAGATGTTTAAAATGTTGTTCAATATTATCAGAGAATACTAAGATATCATCAATGTAAACAATTATAAAATCCATATAATGAATAAATATATCATTCATGATTTTCTGAAATTCAGAAGGAGCATTTTTTAATTCGAATGGCATCACATTCCATTCAAATTGTCCTATAGGCACATTAAAAGCAGTTCTATAAGTATGCTCAGGATTTATTTGAATTTGCTAGTATCCAGATTTTAAATCAAATTTAGAAAATATATTGGCATTATATAATTTTGATAATAAATCTTTTTTATTAGGTATAGGATATCTTATCCATTTTAAAACTTTATTAAGTGGCTTATAGTTTATTACTAATCTTGGGACGCCACGTTCCTTTTCAGCTGCATTATTAACATAAAATGCAGTGCATGACCAGGGAGATTGTGAAGGTTTTATTAAACCCTTTTGAAGCAAAGAATGTAATTCTTCTT